CTAAGCATTGTTACCAGCTTTAGCTACCGCACTGATACTTAAGGAAGCGCTCATCAAGACTCATCGTAGTTATCACTCAGCAGTCACTCAGTAGACAGTGCCAGTTATTCCTCCGAGTCAGTCATTTACGCCCTAGCCACGCCATTAAACGGAGTCTACAGCAGAGAGAAAGTCACGCAACACACGCTCTATCAATGCAAGAAACACACGTTTAATTCTTCAATGCGCAACGGTTAACAACCAGTCAAGGGCTGACTGCAGTTCTAAAAAATAGTTGACTACACAAAGCATGTTACCGGACTCTTCTACACTCGAAGGTATACCATCAGTCTTTATTGAGAATAACTAACACAGAAACATTCCCATAGTCCCTTTATGAGTATGGTCGAATCTTCTTGCTAACCTTGACAACGTTAACATAGGCCTCAAACCAAGCCGTATTCCTCTTCAAAGAATATACAAAATCCATTGCTGATCCCCATAACATCATCGACCGCATCGTCACCGTCACCAAGGAGTAACTACATCATTGTGATAGAACATAATTCACTCTCTACCATGAGACGTGAATACAGAACAACAATAGTGTAATTGTCAATAAAACCAAATAGACGATGCACTAACAAAGTTTACGCACACTGTACATATTTACAGCCCTTCCAATTATGTCCTTTCCTAAGCAGGGCTAAGGCGGGCGACTAATAAACTGAACTATCAAGCTTGGCAGTTCGAGCAAGAAAATTAATTACATTTTCGAACATCTGGTCCTTAGAGCTGGATCAGTGCAATTTCGAACAGATACCTAGAATTTCCATATCAAGTAGTTTTACAATAATTGATGCATGTATTGAAAATAGTAATGAGGTCGTTCTTATATATACCAGTAATGGGTACTAAAGTTCTAAAATCTGATTACATGAAGCAACTCATATTTATATGGGTTATTTGGAAATTTACTAGAGTTAAATTGATAAAAATGTGAATATTATTACAAATAATTACTAGGGGTCATATTAAAAAACTATACATTGTGATTTGATAAATTATTCAATATTTAGATCTATTACAAATTACAATAATAATGCAATTAAAGTACTTCATTTTAGTAGTTTCGAGTGTACAATGGTAGACATACAAATTTTGACTAACTAATTGTTATTGTTATTTAACAACTTATTAAATTAAATTTTAATTAAGGATAATAAATAACATTCTTGTTATATAAGAAATATTTATTAGTTATAAAAAATAATGTCAAGATATATTCATTAAGATTACTTCATATGTATTAGATTTCTATTATTTTGTAATATGAAAGCAGAAAAATTTATTTTTAACATGTTTTTTAGATCAATCCTTCGGGTTTTATATTTATATTAGAATTATGATAATAATGAAAATAGTCATCATTTATAAGGTATTTGTAGGAATGTTTTTATACGATAAGAATTGAATACATTTTTTAATATGAATGAAAATCAATTACATAGTATTTAAAAATTCTTTATTTGATTATATAATTTTTCTGTTAATATAAAATTTAATATATTGCAAATAAAGTAAAAATGGTAAATTTTGCATAAACACTTCTTTCCTACTTTCACTTTATTAGAATTTATTTTAGTTTCAACACTTCATGCATTATTTTAATTAATAAATACGGAAAAAGAATGTAAAAATAAATTTAAGTATATATTAATCATATTGTTACATATAGAAGTTATCAATAAATTTCCAAAGTAATATTATAAAAAATAATTTCATAAAAACCTAAACCATCTTGATAAAGGTACCGTATTTAATTAATAGTACTTTAGGAAGTTTAATTACGCTACAATAATTGGAACTTTATATAATATTATTTATTATATAATTTTTTTAATAAGTCCGAAATAAAGTTGTAAAAAAATCGGCAAAATTAATAATAGTACAATATTGAACAAATCAGTTGTATTTATAATATGTAAGTTATCACGTGATAGTTTAATTATACTTTATATTTATGTTACAACAAAATAAAATAACTATTTTAATTATTTAAAGAAATATAATTCAACAAAAAACGCTGATGTGTAAATTAAATTTCAATTACAATTAATTCAAATTTTCATTTAATTTATTTGGAAATATTCATAAATGTTTTAACACACAGTGCATATTTCAAAGTATAATTTTACATAGGAATTCAGTGATCATAAGAAATTAAAATATTTTATTATTGAAAATAATAGTTTATATATAAGAAGTTTTAGATCATTCTTAAATATTCAATAATAATAACAATAAAGTATTAGAAATTTGTTATGTTCATTATTTTTGATAAATATAATAGAATCTACAGTCCATTACACAATACGTTGATGTTACGTTATGTTATGTTGTGTTTATAAAAATGGTTATTGTTCAAGAATGTAAGAAAACTCCCAGCTCATTAAACATCTGGAAAAATCGAGATTATTGTTCCGAAAAAGGCAAGTCTCGGCTACGCGAGTAATAACATTTAAAAACGCGCCTCGGATTAACTAAATCTAAACAATTCAGCAAAACTTCGAATATCTTAAGAAAATAAACTTCATAAACATATCTGGCAATATCAAGGCTCCAAGTGTCCAGCAAAACAAGTCATAAAACTAATGCTACGAGACATTTGACACGGCCTCGCCATAAAGCATCTATCGACGACAAATGATAAAACATCTGGCGTATACAAATCATAAAATTAGCCTGAAAAACACAATCCAGATGATACACTCAAAAACAATGCTACACCTAACCTTCAGAACATTGACCGATCGCAACGCGCATGAAGACTCAAGACCCCCCATCATGGAAGGGAGTTGAGCAAGACCCGCTCTCATTGGAGCCTCTATCTTGGAAAGACTCACTGGTGGGAGACCCCACCACTCGAAAGGCGCCGTGATTAGAATTACCATAAACTAAAGAAGAATTCTGATTGGGCACACTAATAAGACTAAATCTCATTGGCAACGCCATGATCGACAAGACAGCTCTGATTGGCGACATCAAAAGAGAGGGAATTCTCGCCGACCACCGCGTGGTCGAGAGAAGGCTTTAAAAAAGGCAACGCCGGCATGGCACAATCAGTTATCTTATCTTATCTAACAGAAAAAGAACAAGTCAATTAAACGCAAAAGTCCAAGATTAATCTATTCAACACAAGTACTAGATAATCAAATCATACACTCGCAGCAGTGTAATACGAAAAAGGGGAATTGAGAACTACGAATATTAATCCGCACAGTATACACAATCAAACTACAAGGAGCCCTACGAGTCAACTCAAAGAATAAGACAAAACATAACTATACACAACGTGCAGACTCACGAGGTAACGTTCCATTCCAAATGAATACGTAACTATATCAAGCTATATACGCCAATCTGCA